GTTCAGTCTATGTGATGAACCTCTAGAACAGAGGTTCAGTCTATGTGATGAACCTCTAGAACAGAGGTTCAGTCTATGTGATGAACCTCTAGAACAGAGGTTCAGTCTATGTGATGAACCTCTATAAATGAGGTTCACTCTATGTGATGAACCTCTAGAACAGAGGTTCAGTCTATTTGATGAACCTCTATAAAAGAGGTTCACTCTATGTGATGAACCTCTAGAACAGGGGTTCAGTCTATTTGATGAACCTCTAGAACAGAGGTTCACTCTATGTGATGAACCTCTAGAACAGAGGTCAGGTTGGGGTTGGGCCTCTGTGAGAAACCTCTACCAGTTCAGCTCCCAGTGCTCCCAGTGGGTCAGTGACTTGGAGTCCAGTCACACCAGTAGTCAGGTCATCCTCCTAGAGGCTCGGCCCAGAGTTCTTCCTCGTTTTGTTCCTCTTAGTGATGTTTGTTGCTCAGGGTTCGAACTGGTTGGATGATGAACTGGACCAGTTACTGGGTCTGTTCATGGTAGGGAAGACTTTCACAATAAAAGCCTCGGCCAGTCATGGAGGGGGCTGTTAGGGGTAACCACTGTAACAGGAATCTGAGAGAGAGCAGCCAGTGTTTCTGATCAGATGAGCTCCATGAGGAGAACATGTTTATTAGAGCCCGGTTCTGCTGGACCTAAACGGGTCAGACCTGTTGGTACAATCAGAAGAAGATGGGGTGGTTTGGTTCTGGAGGTGTGGTCCTAAATGCTGCTGGTGTTGGGATCCTGTTAGTAACTGAAGTCCTATAGAGGTTTGGGTTGAACAGAACCGCCCTCATTCAGTAACTTCCGGACCCTCACAGGCCCGGTTCTGTTGACTGAACAGCCTTCCTCTTCTTCCCAGATTGCTCAGAAATATGACCCCCAGAAGGAGGAGGAGCTGCGCTTCTGGATGGAGGAGGTGACAGGGATGGCCATCGGAGAGAACTTCCAGAAGGGTCTGAAGGACGGAGTCATCCTCTGCGAGTAAGTCTGCTCTCCCAGTTCCTCTGACTGATCCCACTCGCTGGTCCCCAGCTGTGCTCAGCCTCCTCTGGACCAATCAGATGGATGTGGATGATGGATTGATGGATGGATGATGGATGGATGTATGATGGATGGATGGATGGATGGATTGATGGATGGATGATGGATTGATGGATGGATGGATTGATGGATGGATGATGGATTGATGGATGGAATGATGGATGGATGGATGATGGATTTGATGGATGGAATGATGGATGGATGATGGATTGATGGATGGATGATGGATGGATGGATGATGGATTGATGGATGGATGGATTGATGGATGGATGATGGATTGATGGATGGATGGATTGATGGATGGATGATG